AATTTCACACTCACAAACACGTTTTATTTGCTTAAAAATATTTAAAATGTCAGTAGTATTTTATATTTTTCTTTTAGTAATAAAACTTCATTGAAACTTTGCTCTAAGAAGGAACAACTTACAGATGCTGTTGGAAAATAAAGTTGTTTTTGTTTCTATATTCTTCAAGTACTATTTTATAAAGAAATGGTAATTTTAGTGTGGTTTGACTTTAAATTAGTGTTGGGTGAATAAAATTAGTGCTGGGTGAATAGTTCAGAGAGAGAAAAAACAATAAGTGTCTTAGGCCATCTTGATTTAATCTTCAAACCTGAATTTAAATAGAAATGTGTAGAGCCAACCTACATTTAAATGGGATGAGTATGAGTTATTGGTATTCTTAAAGCCTGAAATATGTTGTAGAATAAAAATAAACATTCTGTGCTGCTATCATGACATAATATTTCTTCCAGGACTGCTATACTTTCAGTACATTTTTTTAAAAAAAATCTTTACTCATATTAGTGAAGTTAACCTAAACATCCATGCTTGATTTTCAAAAGTATTAAATTATTACTAATTAATATTTATCAAATATTGATGCGTAAATAAATTTTAGTTGCATGCCTCTCTGCCTATTTCTTATATTAAAATAATATATGCTCTTATCTTAGCAGTATTATAGTTTATTCAGTTTCCTTTCCTGTGTTTGTGGGCTAAATGAAAAACGAACTCATACCTTAAAAACAGCTAATATCTTGTATTAATAAATGAATTTCAATCCTCTAAGTGATCTGAGTAACCTTCTATTTCAACTGACACATTTTACAAATAAGAAAAGTTAAAGCACTTGAATGATCTATTTTAGTTCATATTCTAGTTTCTGTAGAACAGATATATAAACTTTTGAAATATACACATTTGTGAGTGTGGAACCAGTTATGTACTTCGCTAAACAGAATCCATATCCAGTTTCACAAGAAAAACTGACAAACTAGAGTAAATTGACCTTGAGTGGAGGTCAGAAACTCTGAGGATTCAGCTGGCTGGGTGGTCCTCACTCCTGGTCCTATAGGGTGTTTGCCATGACCTGGACTGCTATTGTCTGAGGACTGGCAAACGCACATGTCTTGTGACTAGACTGGGAAAATTCACACAGCTGGAGCCAATTCCTGTGTCTCCATTTCTGTGTGGTCTCTGTATTGTCTTTCCTGCTGCCTCTTCACAATAGCCATGCTCTTAATTTGTTGGCTCAGGCCAGTGAAGATATGTCTTAAAAGAAATAAAAGTCTGGAAAGATGGAGTTTTTGCAAGCTAGCCTCAGAAATAACACAGTCTTGTTTTGTTTATTAGAAGTGTGTTGCTAATAGAGCACACACATTCCTATGGTAAGCCATCGCAATGGAATTGACACTTTGAGATGGGATGACTTTGAACAGCACTGTCCGGACTGTTGAGGAACAGGGTTATTTTTTTGTTTTTCATTACTACTTGTTGAACTCTTTACTTAGTATAGGGTTAACCTTATATGTATAAAGTTAATTGCAAATAGCTCTCGGTGAAAAATAAGAATGGGGCTAGGAGAGGGAAGAGGAAGAAGATGTGGGGGTGTGGGTGGGAAGAATCGCTATGTTCCTGAAGTTGTATTTATGAAATACATGAATTTTGTATACTTTAAATAGATGTTTTCTGGGGTGTGTGTATGGGGGAAATGTGTTACTGTTCAGCTGAAATTGAAGGAGAGAGGAGAGAATTTCAACTGTTTTGTGGGAAGGGTATTTTAAAACTATTACAGTGTTTCCTAAGCATTTTTTAAAGCCATCTGGGAATTGTTTATAATTTAATTTGGTTATTGATTACACTTTGAATATGAGCTTGCTTTTTACTGTGCATATGGCGAAAGTGGTGGTATATAAGAATCTGATTTCTAGGATTGAAGACGAGAGTTTGTCTCCTACCTGTTGGGGTGCTCTAGTTTGGAATTCTGCTGGCTTTTGAGAGGTTCTCATTTCTCTAGCTTTCTGGATACAAAAGAAATGCATTTTTCCCATTTTCTGGGACATCAGTCCCATACATTGTTTCCTACCTAATTTTTGTTTGGATAGGCAATAACAATAACTTAAATTTATATCTTTACATTATAAATAAAATATATAATTATAAAATTAAGTCAAATAGTGGTGTTAATCATAGTATGCCTATTGTTGAAAAATGAATTGCTTGCTTAATGGTTATAGCATGTGTTTCACATGTCAGTGTCATAAAACTGATCATCTTGAATAATTGAAATTATTTCAGTGCAAATTAAGGAATTATGAAAATCAATGATTCTTGCTTCTAATTTTTACTTGAATGTAACCATATATTTTATACTTTTGTTAGATAATAAGAGTCATTGTAGTAAGAATATACTTATTCTAGTTTTATATAAATTTTATTTTGTGACTTTGAAAACATTGATTTTTCCATATTTCATACCTACAGTCAAATGAGGCAAATATTCATTTATGAAAATATATAAATTGATTAAATTTCTCCTTATCATACAGTGTGGAAGAGATAGATTGAGGGGCCACCTCTTTCTCTCTGGTTTATTTTCCTTTCAGCCTCTAGTCTTATTAAAAGAAAAGAGAGATTGACAGATCTTCTGTCCACTGGTTCACTCTCCAAATGGAAAATGCCTGCAGCAGCCACGGCTAGGTCAGGTCAAAGACCGGAACCTGGAACTCCATCTGCATTTCCCATGTGGGTCACGGGGGCTAAGCACTTGAGCCAGCATCTGCTGTTTCCCAGGATGCATTAGTGGGAAGCAAGATAGAAAGTGGAGTAATCAGGCTTTAAACCAGCACTCTGATGCAGGATGTGGGAATCTCAAGCAAAGAATTAAGCTGTTGTGCCACTATACTCTTGGTTAGGCTTCTTCTGTCCTTTAAAAATCAAAACAAGCAAGCAGATTCTCCCTATATCCTGGCATCTTTCCTTCCTTCTGTTTCACCTCCTCTTCCTTTCTAAAGCTTTGAGAAAGTAACCCCCACTTGCTTTCTCTTACTGTTCACTCATTAATCTTTTGTGTCCTGATTTCTACTGTCATTGATTTTAATTTGCCCTTAACCATGAAGTAGTATTTAGCAAACCTCATCTTTCTTGAATTCTCTGTGTCACTTGACCTATTGCTCATTCTCTACTTTTCAAATTTCTTGTCACATCATTTCTAAAATTTAATCTGGTTTTTGTTTTCCTTTAACATTTCTGATTCCATTTTCCTGACTTTTATAATCACATTTTTTTCTCATCTTCAATTTTAATAACCCTGGGATTGTTTTTTTTTTCATTTGTTTTCTCTTTCGTTTTTTCACTTCTATTCTCTTTCTATATAATTTACTTGAAGAAATTAATCCCTGAGAAAATAACTTAACTCATATCTTCAGTATATATTTTTTCTTTAGAACCCCAATCGTGTATTCCCACTCTATGTGACATATACTGTCTTCCTGCATCCCCTCTGAAATATGCCTAGAAATACACAGGGAGGGAGAGAGGAAGAGAATATTATGTTCTTAGAATTATATCAGCAGATCACATTGAATCTGTTAAAAACTAATTAAAAATTAAAAATTAAAAAAATACTCAGATACATTTTCTTCCTATATTCACTTTCTCCCTGTTTGGTAACCTGATCATTCTTTGCCTTTTCTCTTTGCTCACCATTTACCTTTGATCTCTCACTAACTTCTAGGAATTTAAGTCTAAACATCATTTCAGTCTTTGCTCTTCTGTAACTTCATTGCTGTTGCCTTCGGTTGTTCCCTGTTCTGTTCCGTAGACTCTTTTTCTGTCCTCTGTCATGTCCAGAGTGCTGTAATTATAGTGGCAACGTAGAATCCAGTTCTACTTTATGCTTTTACCATCACATTTAAGTACAACCCGTTTCTTTGAGTTAAAAACAAGTTGGGGGGACTGGCGTTATGGTCTAGTGGGTAAAGCCACTGCCTGCAACACCAGTATCCCATATGGGCACCATTTCATGTCCCAGCTGCTCCACTTATGATCCAGTTCCCTGCTAATGGCCTAGGGAGAGCAGCAGAGGGTGACTCAAGTGCTTGGGCCCCCTGCCAGCCACATAAGAGACGAGCAAGAAACTTCTAGCCCTATTTGGCCATCTGGGGAGTGAAACAGTGGATGGAAGATCAATCTCTTTGTCGGTCTCTCCCTCTCTAACTCTTTCAATTAGTAAATAATTTAAAAGAAAAATTGACTACTAAGCCCAGTATTTGATGTTTATTTCAGTAATCATTTTATAATTTTAATTCTTTATAAATTATTTCAAAATTCTGAATTAGTGACGCTTAATAAATTTTTGTTTAAAAGTAATGTATTTTGTGAGAATCAAATTTATTAATCCTTCCTATATTCAACAAACATTTAGTCATCTGTGTATGTGAGAGAAAGTTGGCCAGATATGCCCAATGTAAGTAATTACCCCAAAGCAATATATAGTTTTGTGAAATAGACATGTCAAACAGTACCGACACTGCAGTTTATTAGGTGCTAAACAAAGAAACATAACAACAAAACTTTAAGAGCCTAAGGAAGAAAGAGCTTACTTCTAATAGAATTGAAAATAGATCACAGAGAATGTATTATATTGATAAATAATAGGGTCTGCCTGAGAGAAAGCAGAGAAAATAATGCCGGCAAAAGATATTACATTAAGAAATAAGGACCTTGGACTTCATGTGTGGAAGGACTTTTTGGACAATTTAAGCAGAGGAGTTACATGGATTTGAAATCATTTTGGTAGTTCTGACAAGTTGTTGGGCAGATAAGAGGAAAGAAGATGTGGTCAAGGAGAGAATCAGGCTAGTTCAAAAATTTAGGTGAGAAAGGATGAGAACCCGGACTAAGGTGTTGACTTTGCAAAGAAGGGAGAAAAACATAAGAACTCAGTAGAGTTCAGTTCAGTGTCTGTGTTTGTACATTATGTGTATATATCTGTATTTTGTTTGTGTTTTAAACTTTAGACATGGGATGTAGAACTGGAAAGATCTGCAGAATCCTGGGCTGAAACTTGTTTGTGGGAGCATGGACCTGCAAACTTATTGCCATCCATTGGGCAGAACTTGGGAGCACATTGGGGAAGGTAGGTAACGTGCAACTCTTTGTTTTTGCAAATGTAAGAGTTTGAAATGAAATGTTTATTAATTCGTCATTGCACATTTTCAGAGGCTTGCTGCCTAGAAGACAGATAAGTTATTATAAGACAACAAAAACCAAATATCATGCCATATGACTCAGCAGTTTTGTAAACTTATCTTTGTTTTAAAACGTTAGTATATTAATCATGTAATGGACATAGATATTTAAGATATCTTTCTATCAAGCTTTATCAATCTATTTTGCAGTATTTTATATTTTGCTAACCTTGCTTTTCTTGCTCTTTGTGATTATTTTCTTTCTGATAGATACAGGCCCCCAACTTTTCATGTACAAGCATGGTATGATGAGGTGAAAGACTTTAGCTACCCATATGAACATGAATGCAACCCTTACTGCCCATTCAGATGTTCTGGTCCTGTGTGCACTCATTATACCCAGGTATGTTTGAGGCGTATTTTATTCCTTTCCTCCAAATTGAGTTAGGATACCCATAGGAGAATTAGGCTACTGACTATGCATCTTCCTTATGTTCCTTTGTCTGGTTGTTGTATTTATCAGCTTCTCATTATGACAATGAAATATCTGAGAAAACCAACTTTAAAAAAACCAAAGCATTGTTTAGCTCATGATTTTGAGGTTCATAGTCCAGTTGATTTTGCATCTGGTGATGGCATTCTCGCTGGCTGATCCTCAGGCAGCACAGAGCAGAATGGCTGCAATGGCCGGGGCTGGGTGAGGCAGGAACCGTAACTCCATGTGGGACTCCCACGTGGATGGTAGAGAGCCAAGTACTTGGGCCATCTTCTGGTGCTATCCAGGGTGGGTTAGAATGCCGCTGCATTGGAAGCAGAGCAGCTGGGACTTGAACCAGCATCCATAGAGGATGCCAGCACTGCAGGCAGTGGCTTTCACATGGCAAGAAGGGATTCATTGTCTCTCCTTACAAAGTCATGATTCGGTCAAGGGTGCTTTACCCTAAAAAACTCATAAAATCTAATCACTTCCAAAAGGCCCTCCCCACTAAACACCGTAATTAGGTTAAGTTCTGTCTCTTAGTACCGTTAACATAGGAGTTTGTGGACCAGGCTTCCAGGCTTTTTTTTTTTTTTTTTTTTTACAGGCAGAGTGGACAGTGAGAGAGAGAGACAGAGAGAAAGGTCTTCCTTTTGCCGTTGGTTCACCCTCCAATGGCCGCCGCGGCCGGTGCGCTGTGGCCAGCGCACCACACTGATCCGAAGGCAGGAGCCAGGTGCTTCTCCTGGTCTCCCATGGGGTGCAGGGCCCAAGCACTTGGGCCATCCTCCACTGCACTCCCGGGCCATAGCAGAGAGCTGGCCTGGAAGGGGGGCAACCGGGACAGAATCCAGCGCCCCGCAGAGAGCTGGCCTGGAAGGGGGGCAACCGGGACAGAATCCAGCGCCCCGACCGGAACTACAACCTGGTGTGCTGGCGCCGCTAGGTGGAGGATTAGCCTATTGAACTGCGGTGCTGGTCTGTGGACCAGGCTTTTAACACATGAGCCTTAAGGAGGCATTCGACATCCAAACTCGTAGCCAAGCCCTAATAGATACTATACAGAAAAGTATATTTGTTGATTGTGTGGAATAGGCTGACATATTTCTATAAACACTGTAAGTAATTACCTCCTCAGAAGGTCTAAACATTGTTTCAGTGAAACCTTTCAGTCTGGCACCAACTCATGTACATGGAGAGAAATTTACCATTTTCAAAGTCAAAATTTTTGTTCCAAAATGGAAAGTATAGTATTATTTACCAGTAGCATTCAATATTTACTGTTACTGATGCTTCAAAAAGTTTATGGAAAATGTAGGTAACAGCATACGCTTTCCATGAACTTTTTCAAATGTGCTCACATTTGGCATTGGATATATTCTGCATTTCTAAATCAAACAAAGGCAGATTCATTTAGGTGAAGCTCACCACTGAGTTAAGTTTCCAGATTTCTATGACCTCTTTTCAGTAAATATAAAGCATACTGATGTTCTATGTGCTTTGCATGTGACAAGACTAAGATTAGCTACAAGCTACCTGACAACTAGTGACACAGTAAAGAGATCATGTTATGTAAGAAATTTGAACACCTGAATTTTTGCTTGAGTACTTTGTGTTGAAGATAGAATTCTGTTCTTGGATAGATATATGTCTACACTGAAATATTAATATGACATATAACTTTGTGAAGATATAACTTTGGAATTATGTAGTGAGCTTACATTCTGAAAATGCTTATGTTTTATACCAGATAGAGCTCTTTACTTATAGATCTCTGTGTATATTTGAGTTAGGGACTATCCAAAGTCACAAGAAAAATACCCCTTTTGATATTTCCTCATTTCATTTGGATAGATACATGTGGCTTTCTCAAGATCAGTTTTGTACATTTTTTCTGTTGGATAAGTTGCTGGCTTTTTTCATTTGAGCCTGTTATCTCTGAGCCTTTCTGTTCTCTGATGTAGGTGGTATGGGCAACAAGTAGCAGAATAGGCTGTGCCATTAATTTGTGCCACAATATGAACATCTGGGGACAGATCTGGCCCAAAGCTGTCTACTTGGTGTGCAATTATTCCCCAAAGTAAGTGGATAAAACATTACTTTCACATGTAAATTTTTCTTAAAAATGGAAAGCTACTTTATATTCTTATATTTCTTTTCTCATTTGTGGTGTGAATTGAGTAAAGTTTATTGTCTTAATTCATTGTATTTAATGTGGTGATGATTAGTTATGTGATATGTAAAAGTTGGGGCTTCAAGAGAATTTGAAAATTGAAAATATGATCTTTGGGGATACAGGGAATATATTTTATGTCAATTTATATATTCCATAAAGATTTATTAATTTTTATTAATTGATGATTAGGAACTATAGGTTGAGAAGTGTCTTTTGCTCTGTGTAAAAACTATTTAAGTGATCACACTGAAAATACTACATAATTCTCATGATGAATTGAGTCTAAAGTGTGTTTTTATTAAAAACATAGACTATAGGTGTATATTCCATAGCAGAGTTGTTTCATGCAAAAATTTGATTTGTAAAATTTTTAACAGTATACACAGAAGATGCCTTAGAAAACTTTCAAAAAAAATGCAGCAGTAATCTATATTTAAACCTGTAACCCAAAGGACACTATTATAGTAAAATTTGCAAATGTCTTAAATCTAGCACATCAAAATCATTAGTTAGAAGAGCCTTAGTAATGTTTTTTAACATCTTACAAATTGTGCTGTTAGACTCCCTGTTAATGGATGGATCATCTCTTTAGGGGAAACTGGTGGGGCCACGCCCCTTACAAACATGGACGGCCATGCTCTGCTTGCCCACCTAGTTTTGGAGGGGGCTGTAGAGAAAATCTGTGCTACAAAGGTCAGTGCTGTTTTGTTGTAATATTCACTTTGATTGATGTTTTAATCCAGCTGTACATTAATTCGCATTAGAAAAGCCAAGAGTGCATGCTAATTATTACATGAAAAGTTTACAGAGCTCTTTCAAATATTTTGAAGAATTAATTTAAAATATTTATAACAATAATTCTCTTATAACTGCATATTTAAAAGAAAGTTTCATGATTATTTCAGATAGTCACTTCCAGTTCCACTTTGAAATTACACTAGAGTGAGAAGTATGTTTGTATTCTTAAAGCTATTATATTATTGACTATTATATTGTTGACTAACATAACTGTTGGTGGTTTTGAAGTATTTAATACAATTTATTTTTAGCACTTAAAAGTTTTTATGAAAGTATCCATTCATGTATCTTTTTAAAATTTTTTTTTATTTATTTGAAAGAGTTACACAGAGAGGAGAGGCAGAGAGAGAGAGAGAGAGAGAGAGGAGAGAGAGATCCGATGGTTCACGCCCCAATTGGCCTCAATGGCCGGAGCTTCACTGATCTGAGACCAGGAGCCAGGAGCTTCTTCCTAGTCTCCCACACAGGTGCAGGGACCCAAGGACTTGACCCATCTTCTACTGCTTTCCCAGGCCATAGCAGAGAGCTGGACTGGAAGTGGAGCAGCCGGGTCTCAAACCGGCACCCATGTAGAATGCCAGCGCTTCAGGCCAGGGCGTTAACCCCCCTGCACCACAGTGCCGGCCCTCCATTCATGTATCTAATTGGACCTTGCTCAATACAAATTCTCAAGCCAAAATAACAAAAAATGTAGTACTGTAAAACTGTTGTAAAAGTAGTGCTCTCACATACATATACATATGCCCATATATGTCACTCGATTATGTAAGCCATTTTTAAAATCCTGGAAGCCTTTGCAGCATTTTTGCTATTGGGTGAGTGTTTTCCACTCCCCTAAACCTGCACCCTGCCTGCCCCTTCACCAAAAACTTCTGTAGTGTACTGAAAATTGACTTTCCTCTGAATTCATATTTCCTGTTTTCTGGATTCTCAATTCTTGGACAAACGTGAAAATAATTCACCTTTACAAAGTGTCACTGTTAAGCCCTTGAATATAAGCCATCTGGGAAAAAATTCAAAGTTTAAATTTCTACATGTTGAATTTCCTCCCCAGATAGACAAGCCTTTCCATGGAAACAGGTCCTGTAATGAGAAACAAGGCATGTTAATCCTTGTTTAGATCTAATTCCCATTTGGGAGAATTCTAAACATGATCCTCCTGAAGATAGAATTGTTAGGATTTCTGCTGAGTTGTGGCACAGCTGATTAAGCCACAACTTGCATCCACTGTGAGCCCCTATCAGGTTTGAGTCTGGGCTGCTGTGCTTTTGATCCAGCTCCCTTCTGATGTGACTAGGAAAGTATGGAAGGATGACCCAAGCTGGGCCCATGCAGGAGACCTGTGTGGAGTTCCTGGCTTCTGGCTTTGGCATGGCACTACCCTGGATGTTGCCGGCATTTGAGGAATTAACCAATAGATGGAAAATTTCTTGCTGTCTCCCTGTCTCTGTCATTGTGCCTTTCAAATAAATAAATAAGTAAATCATTAAAGAATCTGATTTCATTTGAGGAAACAAATTCAAATTTACTGAATCCTGACTTTATGAGATCACTGTGCAGATTTCATAGTTTCATTATGAAAACAAAACACATAAACAAATCAGGAGCTCAAAGTCTCTGCATGTATTTCATTTATTCTGATTCAGTACAAAAGAGTCCCACCTTAAGCTAAAACCAGTGACAAAAGCAGTATGGAGGGTTTTGGTTTTAAATGTTAAACCGATATATAAAGGTAAATTATTTGATCATTTGTATTGATGTATAATGGGATTCATACTTATTACAACATTCTCCTTAACAGAAGGGTCAGACAGGTATTATCCTCCTCGGGAAGAAGAAACAAATGAAATTGAACGGCAGCAGTCACAAGTCCGTGATACCTATGTTCAGACAAGATCGGATGACAGTAACAGAAATGAAGTCATAAGCACACAGCAAATGTGTAAGACCATTGCATATCTGTCTACACTTCATTAATTTAAACATCTTAGTAAAGAAAAAAACTTGTCATTATAATGTATATGGTGAATCATAGCTGCTTTCATATTATTTGGTTGTTTTTTTTTTCTTTTTAGCCCAAATTGTTTCTTGCGAAGTAAGATTAAGAGATCAGTGCAAAGGAACAACCTGCAATAGGTAATATCTGTTATGATTCTCAAAACTAACTGACAGAATACATGAAATATTTTCATTTAATGCTGACATTCCGAGAAACTAAATTTTGTTCCCAATTACCTTCACTAGGTATGAATGCCCTGCTGGCTGTTTGGATAGTAAAGCTAAAGTTATTGGCAGTGTACATTATGAAATGGTAAGTATTATAAGTACAATTATTTGGGAAAAGAATCTTTCTATATAATTTTTCAAGTTTTAGTGTAAAAAATCACTATAAGTGTAGGTATTTTGCTCAGAAATGTTCAATTCATTTGAAGTCATGTAGTTAATAAGTGTTTGTGTCTTATATGGAGTTCTGATATTTTGACATCCTTTTATCTTCTTTTTTTTTTTTCCCAAGCAATCCAGCATCTGTAGAGCTGCAATTCATTATGGTATAATAGACAATGATGGTGGTTGGGTAGATATCACTAGACAAGGAAGAAAACATTATTTCATCAAGTCTAATAGAAATGGTGTTCAAACAATTGGGTGAGTATCCAGATGATCTTTTGGACCAGGTGATTTTAAGTTGTAACAGTAAACTAACACTTTCTTTTAGAGCAAAGCATAGAAGAGAGAAGTTCGTAACTTTCAAGATTCAATTGAACTATGAAATTTCCAGGGGGTGGGTGGGAGAGGAAGAAAAATCACCTGAATTCAAAGCTGAACATTTCTGTTTACAGAGGGTCTTGAAAACTCAACTTTCAAGTGTAACATTAAAAATGTATACATTTATAGTTGATTCCCAATGTAAAGCAAGGCATTTTCCAGTTATAAAGTACTCCATAGAAGGCTAATTAATTTGCCTATTTTTCCTTCTCTATTTAGAGAAAATTGTTTCATGCAGTAAAAACATTATTAACAAGATAAATTAATAGGAAAACTGCATTTGAAAAATTCTCTATGTAAAATACTGTATCATCTTTTGTCAGTTTATATGTACTTTAACACAACATGAAAAGCATTGCTTAACTTTTAAAATGCTTCTTAAGTGTAGGAAATACCTTATTCCAAAGCACTGCATTTTTTTAAAATTCAGGGGAAGAGGCCGGCGCTGTAGCATGGTAGGTTAATCCTCCACATCCCATATGGGCTCCGGTTCTAGTCCCGGTTGCTCCTCTTCCAATCCAGATCTCTGCTGTGGCCTGGGAAAGCCGTAGAAGATGGCCCAAGTACTGGGACTCCTGTACCCGCTTTGGAGATCTGTAAGAAGCTCCTGGCTCCTGGCTTTGGATAGGCTCAGCACTGGCCATTACAGCCATTTGGGGAGTGAACCAGCAGATGGAAGACCTCTCTCTTGTCTCTCCCTCTCACTGTCTATAACTCTGCCTCTCAAATAAAAAAATGAAATCTTTAAAAAAAAAAAAAACAAGTTTGTAGAAAATGGAATTTAAAGATAATATAGATTTTCCATGAGTTTTTTCTTTCAAGATATATTTATTTATCTGATAGAGTGACACAGAAAGATCTTCCATCTACTGATTCACTCTGCAAATGCTGCAACCACCGGGACAGGGCTAGGCCAACTCCAGGAGACATGAACTCCATCAGGGTCTTTGATGTGGATGACAGGCACACAAGTACTTGGGCTGTGTCTGCTGTCTCCCAGGCATAATTATAGGAAACTGGATCAAAAGCAGACTAGCCAGGACTCATTCCTGGCACTCTGATATGGTGTTTGGTCACCACGAGCAATGGTTTAATCTGCTGTGCCACAATGCCCACCCTATCCATAAGCATTTTGAACTTCGTGGACTTTTGAAATATTTTGTAGTGTCTTGTTTCTTCTAAGTCCTCTTGCAAAGTGCCTGTTAGGAAATGTACCAAAATTTCTTTCTGTTGTGACTATATAGCTATATGAAACTTAACAGAAGGGTTAAGTTAGAATTCATAATTATAAAAAAAATTTATATACTCTCACAAATTTAATGATCTCCTATGTGTACACTTTTGTTCAAAAGTTTGATGTGTGATTTTCAGCCATTATCAGAAGCTCTCTTTAGTAAAATATGTTTGTGATATTTATTAGTTAACTTATTCAGCAAACATTGATTTCCTTCAATAAATAGTAATTAGTTATTAGCTTTAGTAAGCCAAATAGTGGATGTTATACCAAAGAACATTTGCTCTATTATTTACTTTTTTCATCTAAATTAATTTTTGCTTATATCTATTAGAGGAATTACCTTAAAACATGAAATTGACTGCATTTAGTAGGTTCTATGTTTGTGCCTCAAACAATGTTACATCTTTTGGGCACATTGTAGGTGATATTAAATGTTGGAGCAAACAAAAATAAAAAAGATTCAAGATATTTTACAACTTCAATTCTGAGCTAATATATTTGGAGGGTGTACCTTATTTAAGTACCAGTCCAAAGAAGGCTTATCCTTTGCAATAGAGGGTTTTCTGAGAATCAGTATATACATCAACCAATTAAAATTTTGATATGTAATAGTGTGCTTAATCTTATATTCCTGTTTTAAATAGTGTATGTAATGAGAAGAGGTCCATTTATTCACCGTAGGTAATTTACTAGATATACTAGGTGAAATAGAAAATGACTAATGCACAATCCCATAAGGTACTTAATTATTTGCAGTCTCAACAACACTACCTTGTATATACTATTGTGAAGGATTAAATAGTTTGGCTATATGGAAATGCAGGATTAAAATTTGAAAATTAATTTTGATAGGAAACAAATATATAGACATGTATTGCTTTTTCTATTATCTATAAATTCTTGAGGTTAACAATGAAAAGAGACCTATGTCTAATGTTAGGAATGATGATAATTTGGTATATCCATGAAGGTAATATGGACTTAGCATAAAATAGATGTTGTATTCTTATAATACTACTTACCTAACTGTTGTAATACAGATGTTTAAAAAAATTCATTGACTAAAAGATAATAAAATTATGCTAATGATGATTTCTAAAATTTTTTTACTCTTATTTGTCCTCAGCAAATACCAATCTGCTAATTCCTTTACAGTCTCTAAAGTAACAGGTAAGCACTTTTTCATATAATTATCTTGCTGCTTTATATTGTGGTATTGCTTCCAAAGGATTTATTGTTTTATGTTTGAATTCTGCAGTTCAGGCTGTGACTTGTGAAACAACAGTAGAACAGCTCTGTCCATTTCATAAGCCTGCCTCACATTGCCCAAGGTAATGTTCTCTAAATTCTTGTGAAAAACAATAACATCAAAAAGAACGAATGATATATATATGTGTGTGTGTGTGTGTGTGTGTGTGTGTGAGATAAGTGTTTTCACCTAAAACTGTGTTGTCTCCAGAATTCAAAGTTGTGTGGGATCTTGACCTGCTAAGCAGGATGAGCAATCTACATGTATTTCATGTATTTCTGGTGTCCTTTGTCCAAATACATAAGTACTTTCTGCTGTTGCATAGTAGCCGGGCTTGTGCACGTAATCTGTATGCTCATATTTGATATAAAGAATTCCACATTAGTCTTCTTGAGCTGCTGTAACAAAATGCCACAGGCTGTGTGGTATAAACCACAGACACTTGCTTTTGACCGTTGTGGAAGTTGGGGAGTCCATTAGCAAGGTGCCTGCTGATTCAGTTCCTCATGAGGGCTCTCTGCCAGGCTTGCAGGCAGCTACCTTCCCTGTGTCCTCACCTGGTGCATGGAGACAGTGTTTACTCCCTTCTGTCTCTTCTTCTAAGGACACTAATCGTGTAGGATAAGGGCCCTGCTCTTATGTCTGTATTTAACGTTAATTACCCTAAAGATCTTTTCTCCAAAACAGTTACATTGGGATTGGGATTGGGATACATGTGGATTTTGGAGGCACACAAGTATTCAGTCTATAACAAGTTCTTGCTACAAAATTAAAGTGATGTTACCCGTATTATTAGCAGTGTTATCCAGTCCCTAAATTGCATCAATTTCATTTCCACTAGTAATTCAAAAAGTCCTCTCTGCCTTTGTTTTATTTTTGTTTTGTGTACTTTCTTTTCAAAAGTTATAATAGAGTTTATAAAGTCATAGAAAAAAAATGGTTCATTTATCTTGGCTACGCTCAGATGATTACTATTACAAGTATTATGGCCACAGTCATAATCAATACAAGTGAAAACTGAAGAATTACTCTTTTTTTTAAAGATTTAGTTCTTTATTTGAAAAGCAGAGTGATAGATCTTCCATCTATTGATTCACTCCCCACATGCCTGCAACAGCTGGAGCCGGGGTAGACCAAACGCAGGAGCCAGGAACATCATCTGGGTCTCCCGTGTTTGTAGTAGGAACCCAAGTTCTTGGACCATCTTCTGCTGCATCCCAGACGCTTCCCAGATGCATCATCAGAAAACTAGATGGAAGCACCAAGTAGATGCTACTCTGATGTGGGATAAGGATATTCCAAGTGGCAGCTTTACCAGCTGCACCACAGAGCCCACCCTTAAAGTATATCTTGATATATCCCACCTTTGTTCTATTCACACTACACAATCAGTAATGCGATTTAGAGAGATAATTGTAGTTTGGCAAACTGTATCAGCTTAAAAATGTAAAGCACTTAATTTTTATGCCAGAGTTAATTTTCTTTGGAAAAGCTTCATTTCTTAACCTTTTAAAACTAAAGCAGTGATTCACTTAAAGAATGAGATTGGTTGGTCAGGGGGTAACAGTAGATGATGTTGATATAAGAGTGGGTGTACTTCATTTTCTATCAGTAGGGAGTTTCTCAGTTACAGATGTGAGATAACACATTCATTCCTTCCCGTGACTATCTCACTTGCTTCCTTTTTAAAAACAAATCTTTTTGTTTCTACGCTAGTGGGCAAATATTGTTGTAATGGTTTGGGTTGGCTAGGTTGGTGCATGCTGATGTGAGAATTTTTTAAATGCTTCAGCATATGTGTTTACTGAAATCAGCAGATTTCAGGCTATAGGATAATGTGCAGATTACGTGTGAAATGCATCATATGCTTTTTACCATCTGACCATAAATGAATTATGTGTCAGATATTTTTATTATAAAAATATAGTGTCTTAGACTCCTGATATTAGAACTTCACTAATTATGTTGTAAGTCTCACAGATCTGATTAAATAATGACTTGTTTTGTAGTCTTAGAATATTTTTTTCAGATTGATTGTACCTCTGAACTCACAGGTTCTGTTTTTATAGGAAGAAGAGTCAGATTGTTAGGTCAAATTGGTAAATTTTTGCATCATGATATGTGAAAACAGGAATTTTTGATGCTGCCTGTATAAATGTTCTTTAAATACCTATTATGTACCAGTACAAGTGGACTTCAGTGAGTTTAGGAAAAAAATAAACTTAAAAATTTATTTATGCTGGTGTAAAAAGTTTGACGTTCATACAGGTTTTTTTTTTGGTAATACACATATCTGTGAATTTTTTTGAGGACCCTCATATTATGCCAGGCCGTATTTCAGCTGTATAAGAACAGTTTCTGGAATATTCTACCATAAGATCTCCCTCTAATAAATGCTTGGAATGGTAATTTTCTGTCATTGTGTCGCTATTGTTCCAAAAGAGGAAAACCATTCAAGTAAAATTAAACAAATTTCCTATTTTCATTTTTTTAAAAATTTATTTATTTACTTAAAGGTTTGTTGATTGAAAGAATCGCAGAGAGAGAAACAGAAGATCATTATCTACTGATGCACTTCCTGTGCGGTCGCAACGGCCAGGGCTGGGCCAGGCCGAAGCCAGGAGCTTCATCTGGGTCTCCTATGCGGATGGCCCTGACACAAGTAAATGGGTCATCTCTTGCTGCTTTCCTGGCCTCAGTAGCAGGGAACTGGATTGAAAGTGGAGCAGTCACAACTTGAACCCATGTCTACTTAGGAGACCTAGATTGTGTTCTTGCCTCCTCCTGGCTTATTGCCTTGGCCCAACCCCACCTGGTTGCAGGAATTTGGAGAATGAGCCAACAGTGGAAGATATCGCAACTTGTCTCTCTGACTTTAAAACATAATTTAAAAAACATAGGGTTCAGTGCTGTGTTGCAGCAGGTAAAGCTGCCACCTGAAGCACCCACCTGCATCCCATTTGGGTGCTTATTGGAGTCCCAAGCTGCTCCACTTCTAATCCAGCTCCCTGTTAATGCATCTGGGAAAGCAGCAGCAGAAGGCCCAAGTCTCTGGGCCCCTGCCACCCATGTGGGAGACTGGGATGATCTCCCAGCTTTGGCCTGGCCCAGTGCTTGCCATAGCAGCCATCTGGGGAGTGAACCAGCTGATGGAAGATCAGTCAATCTCTCTCTTTCTCTCTGCCTCTGCTTCTCTGTAACTCTGCCTTTCAAATAAATAAATAAATCTTTGAACATAACAAAGGTAAATTTAAGGTAATTTGGGAAAACAGAGTAAACAAACAAACAAAAAGCGCCTTTCCGCAGACCTTTTTTTTTTTTAAATTAACCTGAGGCTAACTCAAGTTGAAGCAGCTGATGTTGCCCTTTTATAAACCACGTGCTAACTCTGGGCAAGGTAGAGCTCATAGAACAGCGTGATCCTAACGTTAGAGCGGGTGGTTTGCAGCCATAGGGTATGCAGTGAATGCACAGCGGTTCTCCAATACAGTGAGGTCATTTTCCAGTCAACAGGACGCCCTTCCGCCTGCAGAAATTTCAGATGGCGTGTTTTAGAACAGTCAACCCTCTAATTCAGAGTTACGAAACTCATATGCCTTTATAAACTTTTATTTAAATGGTTTATTTAAATACTCTATGCACTCTAGAGTATGTAATGCTATACAAATTTTAGAAATAAAAGCTATAACTATTTCTTCAAAGCTGTCTTGAAAATCGGCTTCAATTAATGAGGGTAGTTTCCATTAAAGTTTTATTTTTTTTAGAATACTTTTAGCAAAATTATTGATCCTATCACCCATCAATGATTTTAATGTAGCTATTATGTTGAGAGTCTGATTTGCTATGTAAAATGAATATATTTTTCTAGTTTTAATATTTATTTCCTTTTAGTGCATGTGTGTGTCTATGTGTACATGTGTATTCAGAAGAACCAGTTAATTTTTTTAAGTGTCACTTCATGGTTTCTTGAACTATGAGAATGAATTTTTTTTAATATCATGTGACTGATTGAACACTGATAATTAGGATGTATACGAAAATAAATAGATTGGGGCAGTTTCTTGTAAATGATGTCAGCCAATTGGATATAAGTAAAGTAACAGGACACCTGGAGGAACAGCATTCCGTTAAAGAGGAAGATAAGTACAAAGACCTTGAGTTAGGAGTATATTGTGTATTTATGGAGTTCCCACGTGACCAATGTGACTGGAGCAGGGGCTGTAGAAGTAGAAGGGGAGTAGGATATAAAGTCAGAAGCAGTGGGAGTACAGGACATGCAGGGTTTATTGGCCATTCCAAAGAGCTTGTCACTTATTCTGAAGGAGCTGGAAGGCTAGTAGAGTATTTGGAGCAGAGGAATGACATGTTTAGACTTAGCAAATGTGTGCAAAATAGATTGAGGAGGGCCACACGGAAAGCAAGGCAATCACTAGGAAGCCTGCTGCAATAAATTAAACAGCGAATAATAGAATCCAGATTTACCATATGTGACGTGCTCGGGCTGCTCTGCTCTTGGATATATTTTAAGATATAGCTAATACATAAATTGCTGATGGGTTGAATTTAAGGTGTGTGAGAGAGATTAAGGGTAGAGTAAAGGTTTTGACCTACAGAAAGAACAGATTTGGGAAATTTGTTTTTGGGGCCAGCACTGTGGCACAGCAGGTTAAGCCACTGCCTGCAGTGCCAGCATAACATGTGGGTGCCGATTTGAGTCCCAGCTGCTCCACTTCTGATCCAGCTCCCTGCTAATGTGCCTAGGAAAGCAGCAGAAGATGGCCCAAGTCCCTGGGCCACTGCACTCACGTGGGAGACCCAGAAGAAGGTCCTGGCTCCTGGCTTCGGCCTGGCACAGCCCTAGCCGCTGAGGCCATTTAGGGAGTGAACCAGCAGATGGAAGATCTCTGACTCTACCTTTGAAAAAATAAATACATCTTTAAAAAAATTTTGTTTTCATCTCAAGTGCGTCTGAGGTACTAGCTCCAAGTAGAGATGTTGAATAAGCAGTGGGATATACGGATTTGTAATTAAGATTAGCTCCAAAAGGAGATGCAAATTTGGGAATTGGCAGATTATAGATGATAATTCAAACTGGGAAATTGGATGTGATACCAAAGATGTTAACGTGAAGAGGAAAAACCATGAGACATTATGAGGCAAATGGTGATTCAGATTTCCCAGGTTACCTCTTTACTAAATTCTGCAGTACCACCTTCTCAGATGCATATATAGTGATGCTTTCTTATGTTTCTTTCTGCCTTAAAACTGGAAGTTAGAAGGTTTCCTAGTGTTAAAAAGAAACCAAATTTGTGTCAAAAACTGGAATTGGTTAAAATAAACAGAAGGGATTGTATCTACTGCCTGTCTGGGTCCCTTGACGTATTTCAGGAGAAAAAGAAATGAAAGAGTGTAGAATTTTGAGTTTGCTTTTGTGTATGCTTGTCAATGGTTTTACTAGTAAGAAAGACTGATGTTAACCAACTCGCTTAATATGGAAGTATATGTTTTTTTTTTTCTTCAGAGTATACTGTCCTCGCAATTGTATGCAAGCTAATCCACATTATGCTCGTGTAATTGGAACTCGAGTTTATTCTGATGTAAGTATTCTAGTTATACATCTCTCAGTGTTCACTATAAATAAAAATATACCCTGAGGTGAGAATGTCAGGCCTGCGGGCCATATAAGGCCTGCAAAATCATTTGATCTGGCCCTGCCACATCCTGCAGGTGGGACACAAAAGTCAGTACAACTATTGCAGGCTAATTTGTAATTTAATAATTTTGTATGGCCCATGAATAATGTTATAAATATCTAAATTGCCTTTGGCAGAAATAAGGTTTCCACCCTTGATACCTATGCATATTTAAGTGTATGTATGTGCTTTGCAATACAGTATAAGAGCACAGTTTCTGTAATGATACCAACATTCTCACTATGAGTGTACAATCATTTACTTTAACTAGATATGTTATTATGTCTTCCCCAAATATCTGATACCACACAATGATTTAAATAGCCGACAGCAGTCTTGGGAAGGAAAAATGCATTTAGCTTTTCTTTAGTCTTCCTTTTGGTTCTTATTTGAAGTGTAAACTGGATGATTAAGAATGTGTCAAATGTATAAACAGTATCCTCACTGCCAAAGGATATAAAATTAAAAGCAGATAATACCTTAAAATGTATACCAAAGGGGAGAAGTTGAGGAGAAGTGGTAACGGATGACTTTAGTGGGGTTGGACAAGAAATACCCACTGTGATGGCTTCAGTGTAGATAAATACTTTTGTGAGCCAGGTTGGGCTGTTCTTTGGTAAAGAGGGTTAGGGAACACATTATGGGTTGGATGAATGACATCTACATGTAGGTGAGAATAATTGCGCTGCCTGCAGGGCATAGTACATGGCTTTGCTTGTCTCTGAGTTGATGAGAACTGTAGCTAAAGGGGCCACTTTAGTCTGAGGAATAGAAGAATACAGCTCTTGAAACAGGTTGAGGGAGAATCTGGAAGTACATGCTGATTGGTTTAGGTTTTATGTGGCCAGAGAATTACAAAAGCAAGTTGGGAGAAGTATCTTCCTGATGTACATATTCAACAGAACACTGTAGGGATCTGATTTGCATGAAGAGGCCTGAAATATGTATGTGTCACTGTCTTATGAGTCTTGATGAATGCATTTAGGTCCAAGTTTTTTTTTTTCAATGTGATGTCACCTTTAAAATTATTTTCCAATTCTAAGACTCTTTTAAGATCTAGGTTTATTCACATTATTCCTATCAGCAGCTTAAATATCCTGCTGCTGTCTTGGATTTCCCTAGTCTCTGGATTATCCTTGTCTCTGGAATTTTTCTGTCAAATTCTTGTTCTTTCTTCCTGCCCTAAATGATTGCTACTTCCTCTGTGAGGGATATTGCTGCATCTCCTAATGTTTGTCCTTCTTTCAGCCCCTATACCTTTGTTTTTCCCTGTTAGCAAATAGTCTATTTTGTTAGATGTTGTCATTGTTACCCTGTCTCTCTTTTTTTAAAAAAAGATTATTTTATTTATTTGAAAGAGTAATAGAACAAGGTAGAGAGAAGACAGAGAGGTGTTCCATTCACTGGTCCACTTCCCAAATGGCTGCAAAGGCTGGAGCTGAGCCAATCTGAAGCCAGGAGCCAGGAGCTTCTTCCAGGTCTCCTACGTGAGTGCAGGGGCCCTAGGATCCGGGCCATCTTCTACTGCTTTCTCTGTCTCTTATATTATTTGTAAGCTCCCTGAGGGAAATAGCTGGGCAATCCATTCATCATTTTTTCATCACCATATTGATACGTGCCAAGCTGTGAACAAAGCTTGCTCCTGCCTCAACAGAACTTCAGAGCACACAGTATATCAGATATTAAGCAAGTACCAGGCATATAAATATTTGCTGAAAAATAACAAAGTATTAAATGTATGAGAATGTGCATATCTGGACAAAGAAGTTATTTTTTAAGATGTTTTGGTTTTTAAGTACCAGAGCTTTTTATTTTAGTCATATCTGGTGAAAGTCCCTACCGACTTCTTTATCTTTAAAGCTGTCTCTTGGCTAGAATCAGTTCTGTTAGAACTTACATCCTGAGATCACCTTATTTCTTCCTACCTCAATGAAATCAATAAGTAATAAGTATTATGTAGGTACTCTGAAGACAAAGTTGGAAGTATAAAGATTGCTATCACAGGGTAAATACAGAGTCAGAGATTGAACCATTGGTTGTCAGTCTTTCCAATCCCTATGAAATGCATTAGCTTTTCAAATAAGATTGATAAGGAAAGGTGGAACCCACCAACCAGCCTCCCTCTTCCTCATTCTCTTCCTTCCTTCCTTCCTTCTTCTCTTCTTCTTTGTCTCGCCCCTTCCCTCTCAGTCCTTTCCCCTCATTCTTCTTTTCCTATTTACAGATTAGAACTTGTACATCCCATTAATTTGAACTTTTATTTATAGTTTGTTTTAACTTCATAATTCCATTTTCACAGATAAATTCTTCTTTCTTTTCATGCTACATTAATTCTCATAAAGTGTGGTATGAAAAGAAAATGTCTTTTGACCTCTGAACTCACATAGGAATGCCTGCTGACTGCATTGTTGTAGGCGAAACAATAGTCTCAAAACATATCAAGTGGTTGGGTTTAGTGAATGTTATATCTAAGCACTTTTCTTGCCTCAGGAAAAATGCTGATAGTACGCTTTTAACATAACAGAATAAATACTGAAATGTGCACAGTATTCTTTTTAATTCCATCTGTTATGAACCATTTTGAATACAATTATTAATTCAATGTGAGTCTTTAAGTGGAGAACAAAATGCCTCTTCAGAGTATGGATAGAAGATTTTCACTATATGGTATTTAGTGATATAGCAAAAGCTTGCAAAGGATTAAACAGCTTGGCATCAGGCTCTCTGAGCTAATAAATACTGACTGATGCCACAGAGTTCAGAGCACAGTAATAAAGCAAAGTCATGTAAGATACACACGCTTACGTGAACTTAGAAAAGCACATTAAGTCACCCGCATGTGCATGGAGTTGAGAAAGGAACACGCCCTTGGGATCAGGACAGACTGGTGGGCATATGAGGTGGACCTCTCTAACTGACACAGTTCAAGCATTTCCCGTGGTGGGACTTCCTCAGGCTGCCCTCAGCTATGGATCGTTTAGATTAAAGCACATGGTAAAATCTAGAGATTTATTGGGCCAAAAGAAATGGTTTGTCTTTTGAATGTTGGTAGTTTAAAAAATATGAATGTTTTGGACCTGAAACAGTAATTTTCTCCTCCTCAGAAATCCCAGTCAATTCGGATTACATAACCAGTTTAATAGAAACATAGAACTGGTCTAGCAATTTATATTGGACCATTCAAACCGGCAACAGACATTTTATTTTTTATTCTATTTATTTTTTTGTTGAGGTTATCCTTTCAGGCAGAATTTTTCTGCATAGATTATATTATTTAGTAAGAAAAAAACTCATTTGATACATGCTTGTATTTTGGAAAAGGGGCCATAGAAATGTATAGAATTATGGCTGAGATGTGTCTAAATCAAAATTGGACATAAAAAGTCCTGTGTTTAGTCTGTCAGAGTGAATCCAGTAGACTCGCAAAAGCTGAAATTTAAGGATGGCAGATGGGCCCTTGAAGAGAGAAACGGAGTGAATCTGCTTTTCCTTGTTTTGACTCTGCAAGCCTGCGGGTTGTACTGGCCTTGTGTTTGCAGATGAAATGGTGGAGAGGCCTGGAGATGTGCTTAGAATTGCCTCTGACATGTGACTTTTGAAACATTCCTTAATGTGCAAAATGTCACCCTGCGCTTACCTCTGTCTAAACAGAGACAGAGGTCAGGGACTCCGGTCCCATGAAAGTTGACTGGGGATCTCGGCAGGAATTTCCTAATCATAGGCGTTGTTTTCCTTGCCTTCTTAGCTGTCCAGTATCTGCAGAGCAGCGGTACATGCTGGGGTGGTTCGAAATCATGGTGGTTATGTTGACGTTATGCCTGTGGACAAAAGAAAGACTTACATCGCATCTTTCCAGAATGGAATCTTCTCAGAAAGGTAAAAACAACACACACACACACACACACACACACACACACATTTTTTTCTTTAATACCATCTTTCTCTTTGTGATTGCTTTGCAATGGGCCTCGTCAGAGTGGCACGGAAGGGAAGTGACTGAGTCAGTGTTTCCTTTGCACATTTGTGTAACAGTGGAACAACTGGTCTTCCAGGATGGGAGAAACTGCAGTACCAGAGGTGCCTGTCTCCTGCAGGCTTTTAAAAATCAACATGAAAATCGGATTAGAAGTCAGAACCACTCTTTTGTTAATTGATCTTATAATTAGGAAATTTCTTTCATCCTCTTCTGGATTTTGTAGATTAGTTTTTATATTAAGTCTTTTGAGGTGAGCAAGGCACTGAATTATTTCTTTAATCCAGTTATCTGACAAAGTATTTGACCAAAACAATTAGTCTGATTTTCCCTGGAACCAAATTTCTCCTTTTGATTGGAAATTAGATTCCTGGAATTATATAAATGAGCTTTATCTCATACTATTCAGTCCACTAGTATGTATGAGTATATATATTAGTTATGTGGGAAAATTTAAGGGACTTTCATTATCAAATATTAATACACATTAAGAGAAATGAACCTATAATAATTTGCTTTTTAAATCATTGGTACTTACGCAAGTAATATGAATTTCCATTTGTGTAAATATGGAAAAATTCTTCTCTTCAAGATATTTCATGAGTTTCTCAAAATTGCCAGTGAGGGTTCACATGTACAATGGTGACTTTATAGCAGGGGTGAAGAATATTTTTCCTGCTGAGGGCCATTTGGGGATTTAGAACATCATTTGTGGGCCAGACAAAATTATCAGTTTGAAAATTAACCTGCTATATATTTATTGGATTTTGAGTCCCGCCTGCCAGTGCTTGGCAGGGCCAGGCCGAATGATTTTGTGAGTCTTCTGTGGCCCATGGGCCAGATGTTCCCCACCCTTGCTCTACAGGATGACAAAGGATGTGCCATGCAGTGTTTCTAGATTGCCTTCTCTCTGACCATCTGGGTATCATCTCATAGAAAGATCAGTATTTAGTATTAATTTTCAGTGACTTCTCTGTCACTTGGCTCATGGCCTTTTTAAGCAGATGTGATCAATGATCAATTTATGGATACTTGAGTTCTAGAATGCAGTCTGTAGTTTTATAAGCTGAGTGATGTGGTTTCATTTACCTGTCATATTTCTTATATTTATTTTAGAACTTTACAGTGTTAGATATGCTATTAAACTGAGAATTACTTTTGAGAATCAATTATAGGAATATCCCAGAAGGTAGATGTTACTGGATAGTCTTTATATTAGCTCATCTCTACCAGCAGCCCTCTCTTCCTGAGTCTGTAGACCCTAATTTGTATGTGTGTAAACTGAGGCTCATACTGATTAAAAAATGGTCCAATAACTTGTAAATTACAGCACTAATTCTTTAGGCGAGGGATATACATTTTTCTAGGATGTCGTTGTATTTAAAGAAGACAAAAGCATCCACTTCGTAAGGCACATAGTCAGTCTGTTTCCAGTTTGAACATGTCTTTACAATGGCATCTGCTTGCATGGAAAGACTGGGGCACATGTGTGTGCCTTTGTGTGTTGTATGCATACCTCAGCCTTTTCTTATTCTACATTTTCTTCTTTTCTTCTCTTGTACATAAATAAAAGATGAAAGGTATTGTACTTTGTGTCTTTATTCTTACTGCAATGATTAATAGCATTACCATTTTACATCTTACACCTTTAAATAAAATATATTGTGATTAATGTTACCCAGTAAAATATAAAATAATTCCATAAAAAAGAAAATTTATGATTCTGCATTATTCTTAACATCTACTTACTGGTGTTAGCATTTGGTTCACCAGGTAAGACACCATTTGGGACACCTGGGTTCAAGTCATATCCCTGGTGCTTCTTTTATTTATTGCTTTGTTTATCTATTTTTTATTTTTATTTTTGAGAAGACATTTTTAATTTACATTATAATTAAAGACTTAGTGCTACAATACATAAAAAGTTTGACAAGTAAAAAGACCATAGTTCAGTAGGAATACAGACAAGGGCTACAAACAATGAAGCTAATGAAAATATGTCAGTGTCACAGTGAATTTTGAAATAGTCATAGATCATTAAACTACAGTAATATGTCATTGTTAATAATTTGACAAGATATGAAACAGAGTTTAACAAAACACTATATTTGCAGCAATACTGACACACACAGACATTTCTTTTTTTGTTTGTTTTTTTAATTTTAGCTTCCATGTATAAGAGAGAATATGTAGTATTTGTCTTTCTGTGTCTGGCTTATTTCACTCAACATGATGTCCTTCAATTATAACCATTGAGTTCTTGGCTCCTGGTGTTGGCCTGCTCTATCCTCAGCTGTTGTGTGCATCTGGGGAGTGAACCAGCAAATGGAAGATGTTTCTGTGTTTCTCTGACTTTGAAATACACATATACACATACATACATAACAAATGCCTCGGACTAATTCTTTAAAAAGATAAAAATAAATAGCAGTACTCATAGGGTGGGCATTATCACCTAGCAGTTAAGACACCAACTAGGCCGGCGCCGTGGCTCACTAGGCTAATCCTCCGCCTGCGGCGCCAGCACACCAGGTTCTAGTCCTGGTCGGGGCACTGGATTCTGTCCCGGTTGCCCCTCTTCCAGGCCAGCTCTCTGCTGTGGCCCGGGAAGGCAGTGGAGGATGGGCCAAGTGCTTGAGCCCTGCACCCCATGGGAGACCAGGAGAAGCACCTGACTCCTGGCTTCGGATCAGCGCGGTACGCTGGCTGCAGTGCGCCAGCCGCCGTGGCCATTGGAGGGTGAACCAACGGCAAAAAGGAAGACCTTTCTCTCTGTCTCTCTCTCACTGTCCACTCTGCCTGTCAAAAAAAAAAAAAAAAAAGAGAGAGACACCAACTAAGATGCTGAAGACACTGGATAAGACTCTCACATCCTAAATCAAGTCCTTCCACTCTGGTTCTTGACTTTATCTTCCTGCTGCACAGACTCTAGGAGGTAGCAATGATGGCTCAAATAATTAACTTCTTCCCATCCACATCAGACACCTTGATGGAGTTCCTGTCTCCTGGTTTTGCCCTGGCCCACTGGACATTTGGGCAGTGAACCAGTGGGTGGAAGCTCTTTCTTTGTCTGTCTTTCTGGCTCTCGCATAAATACTTTTTTTAAATATCTATGAAATGATATTAAGGAGTGTATGATTATATGTTTGGGTGTTTTTGTATTTCAGAGAAGAAATTCTTTGGTTGTTTTAGTTTTAACCATTACACTTCTTTACATTTTTCTTGAAACTGTAGATGTCAAAAGTATTAATCTGTATATTGTCAATATAATTTTGTCAGACTGAGGAAATAACTATAAGCTAGTACCCTAGACTACTGCGTAAGCATCAGCATGTATTTAACTTGCAGTCAACTGTTAACCATGCGATTCAGCTGTAAAACTTGTCTCAGTACTCCCCCTGTCAAGTGAAATCGCAGTTGCTGAACTCTGCTTTGGTACATTCAGAGGCAGAAGGTGCTGTGTGAAAGCATGATCTGGAACCCGTGAAGTTCCACAGAGACTGCTTTCCTTAGCATTAGGTGTCTTACATTGCTCTAGGGAATCTGCACACCAGCATGCAACCAGTATTTAAAGAATTATGTCATCTCGGAGCTTTCCAGTAATTTATAAATTACGGCAGCCTAAGAAAGTTGACCATCTGGATTCATAGAGCTGCTTTTTTGGCTGTCAGAAGAAAACATGATTTATTAGGAGGATTATATGTGAAGATGACATCAATATATTTTTTGTGGTTTCTTTTGCAGTTTACAGAATCCTCCAGGAGGAAAGGCATTCAGAGTATTTGCTGTTGTGTGAAACGGAACACTTGGAAAGGGGATCATAAAGACTATTCCAAATGCCGTATATCTGAAGTTTGTATAAAACTGTAACATTACTGTACAGAAGATATCAACTATTTCAGCCCAAAACAGTGCCAAATGCATATAAATCTTGTTAGACAAAGTCTATAAAATAAAACATGGGACTTTAGCTTTGGACAAAGTAAGGAATATGTAATGGTTTCAGAAATCCTGTGTTAAATATTGCTATATTTTCTTAGCAGTTATTTCTACAGTTAATTACATGGTCATGATTGTTCTACATTTCATATATTATATTATATGGTGCTTTGTATATGCCACTAATAAAGTGAATCTAAACATGGAATGTGAATGGCCCTCGGAAAATCATCTGGTGCATTTAAAAGCAATCAACTGTAAAACTGAAAGAAACCTTACTGTATTTTCCCCCATCCAGTTCTCTAACATTCCCTATTCCAAATAATGTCAAATTATTTTCTAGTTAATCCCTGTACAGTTTTTCTCCTTCTGTTAGGGTAGACATAGAGAATATTAAGTTCTGATATTGCACTTGTTATTTTGTATAAAATAATCATATAATATCCCCATGAATCTGTTAAAATGTTTTGTTCCTTGGGAATGGACTTAATAGTAAATGGATTAAGTCAGAGTAGTGGTATAAAAACATTCCTAGTGATTGTATAGTACATATAGGACTAAAATGGGCAGCCAGAGCTTTCTATATATTATTGAAATTGAGGCCACACATTTTCTTTTGTATCCTGGCAAATACTCCTGCAGGCCAGGAAGTATAGTAGAAAAAATTGAACAGAGACGAACTAATGTATTGCATTTCCATTGCCACTGATTTTCTTAATGGTAAATGGCCTTGTGTATAAATGTTGCCAGATTATGGTACCTGTAGTGGTGATATATTTGTTTCTATGAAAAATGTATCTTGCTTTGAGACTAAAAGAAATCTGTAAAGTGTTACTTTTGGTAATTTTGTTTTCTGCTAGTGAATTTACTCTTTTCCTGTAAACATTAAAATTAATCATGTTTCAAAGTATTATTTTCAGTTCCCTTTGCATGCTTATGTTGATTTAGAAATAATTTTGGCCAAAATGAACAATATTATTGTTGAAAGCCTTATTTGGCTTATCGAATAATGTACCTATTGACAGGTCATGTAAAGTCAAAATAATTATTTAGGTATTTGTGAAATAAAAAACATGGAACCATATATTTAGAAGCATTGTAGCAAGGAAGAATTTGAATACAATGTGGGAGAGTAATTTATAAGGCACAACAAATGAATATAAAAGATATAGAGTGATTATAAAAGGAATTGAGACAAATGTTTGAAGCATTTTTAGAAAGTAAATGAGGAAGAGTTTAGGAGCAGATAAAAAGGAGATAAATTACACATAGGAGTCAGAGAAAGCAAGAGGGCAAAATACTATGGAAACTTACAAAGGAAGAGAGGGACTCCAACAAATAGCTGCTGGAGAGCAAATGAGGACATAACCAGTGGTTCAAGGTTATTTATCAAGTACTGGCAGGAGGTTAAGTGGTTCCAAATGTAGTTAATCAAAACTTATTGATTTATGTCTTAAAATTTCAAAATATAAAGCATATTTGATGGGAACACTTTTTGCCAAAGGTACGTTACCACCTTGACTTCAGCAGGTTCATCTTTTGTTCCGCATTCCCCAAAAGGGAAGCCCTCTCAATTTTGTCAGTCTATTCGTCGTCATGTTTGTCCCTACTTTCGGTCTCCATCATCATTGTTTTAGCTTTCAAAGTTTACCCGTTAACTTTAATAGTCGTCATCTGTTAAGAATCATCTCTGTACCAGAACTTTGGTTTTTCCTTCTTTCCTTACTTTCCTGTTTGGGAGTTAGGTGAATCTTCCATCTTCCACTAAGGCAGAGGCACCCTGTTCCGCAGCTGTGAGCTCCCCGCTACCCCTTGGTGGCTCTGACAGCCCCGGGCACGGGGATGAAGTGGCAGGAGCCTTGGCACTCCCAGTTTGGGCTCAGAACTGAGCCAGGGAAGGTCTGCTCCCTGGTCTGCTGATGGAGTCAGTGATGAGTTGTACCCCGTGGACATCAGCAACCCTGCCATGCACCCAGGAGTCACACACAGGAAGCCTTCACAGACCCGCATCTCCCTGGCCTGGCCGTGCTGCAGTGGGAGTGGTCAGATGGTCTCCCCTGCTTTACTTTCCAATCTCACCCTGTCCTGATGCCTTCTGATGAATTCAGTAATCAACATGGACCACACACAGAGAAAACCTTGTGTCTTCCTCTTCTATGTGACAGGTGGATAGTAAGAGATGTTTGTGTTAACCAATCCAGTTCTTTAAATGTAACTGTGAGCAGACAAAAGCAATCATCAGACATAAGCACAGATATCACTACCATCAACCAATTCCACAATGACATTTCTAGGAAGAGAGGATTCTCTCCAAAATATCATCATTAAGAACCTGAGTATCCATTAATATCCTAAGTTTAGAAGATACTTCATTCATCTAACAGTAGGCCAGTAGGGAAAATAAACAATTGGAAAACAAGAAAATTATCAGACTCAGCCATTGGATCCCAGGAAGTAAGAATGAAGATAGGCTTGGACATTGTGATATAGACCAAAAAAATTTCAATAGAGATATAGATGTGGAGTGCATCTTTTTAAAGACAAAATGTACATAGGCATGCAGATACACAATAACATTAGATATTGTCAGTAATCCTGTAAAATTAGACATAGCTGTGATAAAATGAATTTCTAATGAAAAAGCTTGTGTGCCTATGCCAACTTCATTTCTTCCTAGTTGAATAATGCTCAAAGTTTTATTACATTTCTCTCAGACACAGTATGCTCATTTGTAATATTGGGATCCTAATGACTTCCTCACAGGGTTTATATGAGAATCAGATAAAATGAATATTGCTGAAACTAGCACTTACTAAATTCTAATTAAATGACCATACATTCATGTGTATATATAAGTTTACATATATGTGGGCATATATATGGACACACAAATATTGCATCCTTTTAGAGGTTGCATGGATTTTATTTGAGATTTGTATGAACTAGATTCAATAATTTTAATCACATTTATCGAGGGATAATTTAGCTACCAAAATGTATGCGTTCAGCTATTCATTTTGATGAGTTGTATGAATTTCTCAAGGCTGCTGTAATGAAGTCCCACAGGTTGAATGGTTTAAACAACAGGAGTTTATTGTCTTACAGCCCTGGAGAACAGGAGTTTGAAATGAAAATGTTGGCAGGGCCAAGGCCTCCCTCTGAGGCTACTAGGGAACGGCCTATTCCATGCCTCTGCCCTACTTCTGGTTGTGGGCAGTTTTGTGCATTTCTTGGCTTGTGGTAAAAATTCATTGTTCACATGACGTTCTCTCTTTGTGTATGTGTCTGTGTCCAAGTTTCCCACTTTAATAAGGACACCAGTCATATTAAATTAGGGGCCCATCCTACTCCAGTATGACCTCATCTTAACTAATTACAACAACAATGACCCTATTTCCAAATGAGGGCACATTCTGGGGTACTATGATTGGTTAGAACGGAAATGCAAGAAATTCTGGAAGCACAATTAAAACTGTAGCATAAGTGTTGACAAATTTACACATTGGTACAGAGCACCACCAAGTTAAGATATAAAACCTTTCCGTAACACCTCCCCTCAAATTCTCTGCCACTTACTCCCAGCACATGTCTCAAATGCCCTCAGAGTCACTGTTTATTCATCTTTTATTGGCTTTCATATAAATATAAATAGCACATATGTACAATCTTTTGTCTGGATTCTTTTGTTCAGAATGATGACTTTGATATTGGTTCATGTTACTACATTTAACAATTTGGTCCTTTTCATCCTTGAGTAGTATTTCATTGCTCATATGTCCGTCAATTTGCTTAGCCACTGACCTGTATAAAGACTTAAATTGTTACAATTTTTGCTGACATGAGTAACAGAGCTAATATAAATAGTTATGAACATTCATGTACAAGTCTTCACATAGACTTTTGAGTAAATCTTAGAATAATTGTGGACCATATATATCAAATACATATCTAACAGATTTTACTATTTTTCAGAGTGATCAGGCCATTTGCATGAAAGCTTTGAGTTGTTTTACATGTTTGGCAAACTTGGCATTTTTAATTTTTCTAAATTTTTGATGAATATGTGTATTATGCTGCTTTATTAAGGTTTTATTTTGCATTTACCTAATGAATAATACTTTCGAGCATCTTATCTACTTTCTAAAGTGTCTATTCAAATTTCTCTTAATTTTCATTGGAATTGGTTGCCTTTTATTATTGAATTATTATAGTAAATTAGTTTTTTTATGTCATGGTACAAGTATTTGTCAGATATGTGTAGTTCAAATATTTTCTTCAAGTCAGCAGCTTAACTCTTTGGCTTCTATTGTCTCAACTACCAGGGCAATCGCTCCCTCTTAGTTTTTTTTTTTTAATGGTGTCTTTGAAAGAGCATAACTTTCTGGCACCGCAGCTCACTTGGCTTAATCCTCCGCCTGTGGTGCCGGCACCTGGGGTTCTAGTTTCGGTTGGGGAGCCAGATTCTGTCCCGGTTGCTCCTCTTCCAGTCCAGCTCTCTGCTGTGGCCCGGGAAGGCAGTGGAGGATGGCCCAAATGCTTGGGCCCTGCACCCCATGGGAGACCAGGAGGAAGCACCTGGCTCCTGGCTTTGGATTGGCACAGAGGGCCAGCCGTAGCAGCCATTTGAGGTGTGAACAAACAGAAAGGAACACCTTTCTCTCTCTCTCTCTCTCACTGTCTAACTCTTCCTGTCACACACACAAAAAAAGAGCATAACTTTTAAATTTTGATAAAGTCCAATTTATTGATTTTTGTTTTATAGTTTTTGTTTTTTGTGTCATACCTGACATACATACATACAGAAACATACAGACATGTTTGCCTATATCATATTATAAGCCGAAGGGCTGCTTTCGAAGAGTCTCAAGGCAGTCATCTTGTCTGTTTCCCTCCTGTCGGGCATTAGATGTGTTGCCTGATGACAATGTCTGAAAACAGTTGTTTCATATATTTTCTCCTCCTCTCTACATACCTGTTGATAGGAAAATAATTTCTTTCCTATTATCCCATCATGGTGAGCTATAAAAATCTTCAGATATTTTCTAATTTAAATGTATATATATTTGAGAAGCAGAAAGAGAAGTAGAGAAAGGGAGAGACAGAAATCTCCCATATGCTAGTTCACTTCCCTGGATGTCTTGACAACCCAAAGGTTGGGCCAGGCCAAAGCTATGAGCCAGGAACTCTGTTGAGATCCTTCATTTGGGTGGCAAGGACCAAAGTACTTGACCTATCACCTGTTGCCTCCTCTGTTGCTCAGTAACAGGAATATAGAATCAGTTTAGAGTTGGAATTCAAACCCAGGCACTCTGGCACCCCACTTGGTGTCTTAACAACTGCACCAAATGCCAATCCTACAGTTATTTTTAAAAGATAAGTAATGGAAGAGAGAGCTCTCACATTACTTTTCACTCCTGTTTGCTTACAAATATTTAAATAATGGTAATCAGTTCATCCTTTAAAAATACTATGATTTGAGAAAACTTTTGGTACTATTTCAAATATGTAGATTCTTAAGTTCATTGAAATGTTAGTGGCTTCTCACAGACCTCACTAGTTTACCAGATCCAAGAATTTGATCAGAACAGCAGGAATTCTTGCTAGAGGCTTACTGGAGATTGTAGGAAAAAACAAAATGCATTCAACCTGACAATTTGATCTCTGAATAATCAGGAATGTTACCTTACAAATAAGTTGAAGGCATAAGCTGTGAACTACAAATCCTTCAAAACAGAATGCTAAATGGAAAAAGTGAAAAAGACAAAACTAAAAATAAAGTTAAACTATACTGGATATGGTTATTTTAAGATCTTAGATGTTGGACTGATTTAATATGTTTGGACATTTATATTATGTTACTATTCCTCTATACCCCACTGTCTTGAATTTTTTATATTATAGCTATAATAT